TAGAAGTTTATATCCTATATGTAAATAGTTTGTTTATTTTCTTTTGGTTTTAAGGATTTTGGAAATTTTGTTTTTGTCTTCTATATAGTTTACAGGAAGTTTTATCTTCGAAATGTTTTTCTGTCATCCATATAACTTTCCGGTTTTGTGTTATTTTTTGTTTATTACGCATAGCATGTATAAAAGATAGTTAAAAAAAGTGGATTCGAGCAACTCGTGTACTATGATGATATAAGAAATTACCTTCGGTATAGAGTGAGCCCACCGCCAAGCTTACATGTACAAAAAACAAGAGGAAAGGGCATCGAGCAAAGAAATAAGGAGGGTGGTGGGCAATGTGGAGTGATATTGCAGCATCTGCTATATCGAGCAAGAAGGAAGAAGTTGAGGGTGTGATGGGATATACGATGGAGGGGCACCCTAGAAGGAGGAGAGGACAGTAGGGTACTTGGGGCCGCATCTATGGCTAACATTGGGAGTCACGTCCTAATTATGATTTGCACAACATCAATTTCTTAATTAGTCTGTTGAGAAATATTTTAAGTCAGTAATCCTACCATTCATTCCAAGAAACGAAAATTGAGGGGTCACACATTTAAAAAAAATATGGAAGTTCAGTTGTCGAAATGTATAGCTGCACTTCAACGACTAAACTTACACATGATGTTTCCGCAAAGGGTAGTTACTTAACTGAACACAGAAACATATTAACATACATCTAAGTAACAAATAACAAAGTTGCTTTAGAAATAACAAATTGTTGTGTTTATAGTAAATTCATGAATCTGAATACAACGGCTAGCTTCACAAGCAGCATCTATAAAGGAAAGAGATACATGACTGACTCCCACTAGTGTTGATAATGGACATTTCCTTGATTTCAGTTTACATTTATCTGACAGCAAGACCTCTCATTCATAATCAAGTACAGTTACAGAGTTGTATAAAGGAAGAGTACTACAGTCATGATTAGATATATAAATTAGCTAAAAAATATTTGCCGGCCATAATCTCCGAAAGTATAAATTATCAGCCACTCTTCTTCAATTCAAATCGTCCGTCCGTGGATGCCACTAGCAAGAGCCTGCAACAGAATTCAGTAATCGTTCCATATTATTAACCTGATACCTTCAACCCTCTCAAGGAAAGAACCAGATAGCTCCAACCCTTTCATGGGATGCAACTCAACCTGAAGCACGAGGGATTAGAAAGTTGAGTAACTTTCCATTCATAAACCCACAAGATCGCTGATGGTTTTATCTTCAAAAACCTATACAGGGCAAATACGTACATTCGTTAAGACATTCCGGAACGCAACTGATTAACGAGGGTTGTTTGACAACTGCTTTCCTTATTTTGTCAATGGGCGCTCACCTTCATGAACCCACAGGATCTAAAATGCTCGGAGAACCTGTTACAACTAAGGATTCAACAGCAACCCTGCCGAGAAAAAAATTCAAAATCATAGACAGAGTTCTTGCTTCCATCACAAGATGCATGGTAAAAAAAACCAAATAGATATGAAGAAATGAGCTTGAAGGAAACAAGAAAATGAGTTGAGTTGGTTATATCCAAGAAAGAAATATAGAAGTTGAAAAAAAGGTATCCGAAAATCCTAATCATAGTCCTTCCTTGTCGAGGAAAGTCAATTGGAATGCTGTCCATTCAAGAGTTAAAACAAACAACAGAGGTCATACTTCACAAAGGGTAATATTGTGAAGTAGTGCAGCTAGTCAAATAAAGTTAATTCAGAGATAGCTTTTAAAACATCTGATTTAGAGGCTAATGCAGAAGAAGAATAGCTAAGTCAGCTAGCTTAGACAAGCAGAGGACACAATTCTGTGTTTTTTCATATTCTTAGAGCAACTCAGCTGAAACTCTGAAAACATTCTACAGGCTAAACCATTAGAAATCTATACTCAAAACTTAGCCAACTAAATTAAATCTTCAAAAAATATCAGAGGTCATGGGCATTAGCGAGTGCATTCTTATTTTTGCTTTTCCTGATGGAAACAAAGTAATAATAATCTGGACACCACAAACCTTTACAATGAACGGATAAATTTTCCATAGCCCAGTGATTTAGTCTCCAAAAGCTATTCAACTAAACCAAAAGACACGCTTGTGACTGTATACCTCTAAAATGAATAATAGCAACATAACCAAAGTTAAATGCATGATTGTGTGACAAAGCAGAAGGTCGAATTGAATTACTGCACCACAGTGACTGGGTATTGTTCCTTGCCAATATCCTGTGCAAACTGAAACTACAAATCGTGCGAGGAAGCACCAGAAACAGGGATCCAAAACAAGAGGTAAAAGAATGAAAAGAACACCAGAGCAACTAGACTGGATATATTCCCTCCGTTAACAAAAATAAGATGGTTTGGGTAATTTAATACGGGCCTACATACGGACAGAAGTGAGTGAACACACTTAAATGTCTCTATATACATCCGAATCAGAAAAAAGTTAGAACATCTTATAATAGTGAACGGAGGGAGTATCATATAAGCTTAAAATATAGTAAAAGTAATAATTATATAGCAAGGAAAAATGGATAAACATGATGCTCAATTATTGTAGTTTTATCAAACGGGTGTACATGAAGGGCCGATGCGGTAATAGCAGGTATCCTATAGGATAAAGGTACCAAAGAAAATCACAATGGATACTCCATGTAGGAAAAAATAGCATACCACAGACAACAAAGTCTACACAAATGTTTGCCTAAAATGCACAGATAGCTAACGCTATGCTTGGTTCACCTTCAGCTGCCAACTTCTGGGTCCAAAAGCTAAAAGCTGGACCGAAGGGGGTTTCCAACAAACCAAATTCTTAAGGGTGTGTTTGGTTTGGGGGAATGAAGTGGAATGTAACGGGTTGGACCTGCACCTAGGAGTGATTCTCGTGTTTGGTTGAAAAATGGAATGGAACACACTGGTTCTGGAGAGGGATATTCCTGCTACATGGCGAACGGGGTAGTTCCTCCAAATTGGCGAGACCATGCAGAACGCCTCGCTTGCCCATGACCTCTG